ATTCGACCTGTACCAAAACTATCGGCATAGTGACCACCCATAAAAGACATTCAAATAAAAACTGCATTTTTTTTTACCCATCTCTTTCCATGGATGTCCGTCGTCATGACTGAGTAATTGTGGTGTTCAAATCTTAGTACCATCTGCCATGAAATGATCATAGACAAGACATTAACGGCTACTTGTCTCTAATTACCGCTCCAATAGCATGCTGATCACATCGTGACACCAGCGGCTGTGTGGAGCTCAATCTATTGAACACAAGAACTACGGTAGGCTGGCCTTTTTCTTAGAGCGACAGATAGTTAGAGTTGGAAGGAAGACATCAGGCTATAAAGTCAATTGCTAGACAACACTATTTTGCCTTTCTTTCTGAACGTCCAGTTTCCAAAATTATTTTAGAAAGAACCTCTTTGTTCTAATATATTGATTTCTTTTGTATTAAATGGCTGATCCATATGATTTATTCTTAAATAATAGACCATAGAATTCCGAGAAGTTGTTCTTTTTGAAATGTTTCTCAAAATTAATTGACATTGAAAGTTTCACGAAAAATGCTTAAAGTCGACAACTGAATCATTAGAAGTATCTGAACGTCTAAATGCCTCTCACATTTCCTTAACTCCTCTTCCTCGATACTCTTTATAGATGACTCCGTACTATTCGATTCATTTTTTCTAAAATTTCAATTTCTTTATCAATCATGTATTTTTATATCTTCACTTTCAGCTAAAATAATAACTGATAATAAAATTCATATTGAAAAATAAAGACTATAATAAAAATAATTTATCTCTTTCATCGATTATGTTTCAAATCTTTTTTTTTTTCATATGTATCCATCGCGGAAAATATCTGAATATATACACACAATCATGTTCAATAAAAAAAACAAACGATATAGACAAACAAGAAATTACATAAACAAAGGATTAGTGCTTTTTTTTTTTTTATTGTATTCAGTACACACGAACAAATATAGACGCTTTATGTTTTCATCTGTCTGTTTTTATATACTAATCTAAAGCTAAAAAGCAATGGACAATGTATGTTTTATTTATAGAACAAAAAAAAATGGTCACAGGGCGAGAAAAGAAAGACAATAACAACAACTCGATGATATTCTAAAGAGAAAAAAAAACCAAAAAAAAAAAAAAAGAAAGAAACGAACGAGAAGTGAAATAATCTTTTCAATAGAGAAAGAGGTTTTATTTTTCGAGTAACAAAAAAAAAAAAAAAAAAAGAAAAAGACATGTACAAAATAAACACATTAATTTAGTGAACCACGACATGTTGGCGCACCACAACAACATGGAATTTTTTGTTCTTCAAGTGGAAATTTATAATCATATGTTATTTCTTCTCCAAGACGTATATCACGTTTTGAATAGATAACTATTTTCTTTTGTGACTCAACAGGAATTATTTTTGCATAACAATTTGGCTGAAATATAAGAAAAATAAAAGTTAAAATTTTTATTTAAAACAAAAAATATGATTTTCATACATCACAACTATGATTAATAAATCGTGCAAGATTTCCACATTTAGTTGCATCAACAATTGTATCGGAATCAACACGAAACATATAATTCGAATTAATTCCTTCTAATTCATATTGTTTTTCACGTAGATCACCAATACTTTGTCGAATTGTTTCACCAACATATTCAATAACCATATCTTCCATTGCAATTGGTTCACAAGCAAATAAACCCCATGCATGTATACTTGATTTAGCATAACGAAGACGTTTCTTTCTTAACTATTTATATTTATAATAATAGAGAAAACAAAAGTATATAGATTTAATTTTATTACTTTAAGTTGACTAAATTTAAAATGATCAGCAAATTCAGCATCACCTAATGCTAATAAATTTCTTCGATGTTCACTACGAAGTTCACGTGACATTTGGGCACCAGTTGTACGACTTGTATCAAGCATAGCTTGTGGAAGTATAGATAAACTTTGAGAATCATCAGATGTTTTTAAACGAGGAATTTTTTCGTCTTTTATTATTTTATAATAGCCTTCTGTTCTAGCACATCCTTGAAAGAAAAAAAGTTAATAACTAAAACTTTTCAAACATCATTTGAAGATTAATACCTGTTCGATGTTTTTGTGGTGGTTGTTTAATAAATGGTGAATCTCGACTTGGTGGATGATCAACCCAACGTGTTTTTGTAGTACATGAATGTCCTTCTTCACATAACCTTTAAAATAAAAACAATTATACATAAATACAAGATAATCTACAAGTAGTAATGAGCGGGAACAATCGTTTCTTAGTACAGTTACTAGTCAGAAAAAAAAATTTCGTTTGTATTTGGCGCTTAGTAATACATGCACTAACAAAAAATATGGTAAAATGTTCTGACAGTGTCTATGACCGTTTATATGTTCGATAACTTTGTTGTTTTGTGAGAAAAATAATTCATTTTTACTAACATAAATAATAACAGTCAATATGCAAGTGATTGTTACTCGATAATTTTCGTATAAACTTTTAGAACACATGAGTCGTGAGAATATGACATTTGACACAAGTACTACATGACCATGAAAAAAAAAATTTGGTCTCGATGAGACTGGGATCCGGACCACCTTGCACATATCTATCCACAAGTCAATCGGTAATTTTTATCTGCGAATAACTTTTCATAGGAACGACATAGAGAACTGCGTTTTTCATCACTCAAAAGAAGTTGCGTCACTGTGTAATTCAATAATGTTGATTGACGACCGAATTATTAGTCAGTGAATTTCAGAAATATACTTCTAGTTCTTGGTATACGACAGTAAACTTTAAATCTAAGAAATGCACTAGGTCCGCGTGCTCGCAATAAAAGTAAGTGAATCTAGGCGTATTTCTTAGAATGAAACTTCTTTATGTTTCTTCATTGAACTATCAGTTTTGTTCTGAAGTCTACTGATTGATAAATCGGATCATCAGCAAACATTATTCAAGCATACAGTAGTGTAATCTCTTTTGTGTGTGACGCAACCTACAGTTTTCAATCTTGAATCGATCAAAAATTGATAGATGATTTTTGAACTAACCTATAAGAAAAAACTAAGCAGGAATAATAATAAAAAAAGAGACTTTTTATATAATTTGATTATTACATTTATTTCTTAAGTAATCAATCAAGAGCAAGCATAAAATGAATGGCATTGAGAAGAAAAAAAAAAGTATATTTATTTATTTTTGTATATAATCAAATATTTGAAAATATTTTACAATCATCAGAAATAATTAATTCGAAAATAATAAGTATACATATTTTATACTTAATTATCATGATTAAAACAATAAATATAAAAGCTTTTTTTCCTTAATTCGTTAATAATTTTATCTATTCAATAAAAAAAAATAAAAATCACCTTACTTTCTATTGAAATATATCTACATTAATAAATATTTGATACATACCTTTGAAAACTTTGTTTAAGATACGACATATCTTCTTCATCAACACCTTGATCAAGTTCATACATAATACGCATTTCATCATCATGTGCACGTGCTGGAAATTTTGGTGTTGGAGGAATTATTATTGGAAATTGAATACCCATATCATTTAAACCATCAATAGTTAATCGATGAGCTACTGGTACAGGTTGTTTTGCCATAATAGCATAATTATGTTCAAATTCAATATAAGCAAATGGATTATAAGATTTAGTTGATAATCGTACTTGTTCAGAAAAATTATCAAGCAAATTAAATGTTTGAGTCGGTTGTGTATCTGAATTATTGTTATGTGCTACTTGATTAAGACTTGATGCACTAAATAAACACATAAAATTTTTATATATAACGAAATGAATATGAAGAAAAATTCTTGTAACTCATAGATTGATATTCAATTATGTATAGTTGTGCAACTGTGTATCTATCTTCGATATAATCTTACCTTTTCTTTCGTTTTGCTAATGTACTATTCTCAATATCATCTTGTTCTTGTATTGGTTCACTTTTAATTTGTTCCATTTTTCGTTTTTTTGTTGGGCCAGGTTTTTTATTCTGTTTAATGATGTTTTTATTCGAGATTTTCTTTATCGGTGATGTCGATACTGGTGGTGTCAATACTGGTGGTGTCGATTCTGGTGGTAGTATTGGTGGTGTCGATGCTCGTGGAGGTGGTGATGGTATTATAGTTGGCGGTGTTGTGGTTGATGGTGGTGGTTGGGGTTCTAGTTCAGTATCCATCTGATTCGAATTATTCTGTTCTTCTTCATTGTCCTCATCTTTAATTTCTCCTTCTTCTTCTTCAAGTGTTGGATGATCAATAGAAGTTTTATTATCAGTTTTTGTATCTGATGATGATATATCTTCATTAGGTATTGAAACAGAATCTCGACTTTGACTATCATCATTTTCAGGTGTCATATGTGAATCACTACTACTAGAACTTAAACCTAAAAAAAAGCAAATTGAATAAAAAAAAAAATTTATTCATAAAAATATACGTTTTTGAGATATTTTTCGTGGTTGTTGTTGTTCTTCTTCTTTCTTTTCAATTGGTTTTGTTGGTTTTTGTGGAAGAGTTGGTTTTTCATTTGGAATGGTTCGTTTCTGAATAAAAAATGTAATTTAAGATTCGAAAAAAGAATGTAGAAAAACTAAATATTTCTTTCTAAAATTACTTTAAATGAAGGTATCTTTGGCATTTGTGACCGTATAGATGAACCTACACTATCTTTCATATGTTCAAAATATGTTGATAAGTTTGTTGATGATGAAGAAGAATTATGTAGTGGTACTGTCAATGGATTAGGCGTTTCATCTGGTGTTCGTTCTAATGATGGATTTGATAATGAATGATGTAATTGATTTGACTGTTCATTATTAGAAGATATTTGTTCATTAAGAGAATTTTCAGATGATTTTATTTTTCTTATTTTATCTTTTCTTTCTTCATTATCATACCATGTTTCAATAGATTTATAAACTAATGTTTCAATAAGTTTTTTAGCTAAATCTTTTCGAAGTATTTCAACTAATTCTCCTGTTACAATATTTGATACAGCTGTTGTTAAATCATTTGTTTTTCTTTCACGTTCATCAGTACTATCATTTGGATGTGGTTGAAGACCATTTGATGTATTATATGATTGATTATTTATTGTTGTTGTTGTTGTTGTTGTTGTTGATGATGATGATGATGATGATGGTGGTGGTGGTTGTTTAAACATATCTTGCCAATTAGTTCCACCAGTTGAATTTAAAAATGATGCTGGTGGAAATGAATTACCAAAAAAATTAAAATTATTAACAACACCATAAGATTGTTGATGATGATGATGACTACCAACAACATTTGTTAATGGTGTTGGTAATGGTGGTGGTGGATAAGAAAAAAGTGTTTGAAGTTGAGCATTTGGTAATGGTAATGGACGATGATGAGGTTTCGTCGGTATAGATGTTGGAATAGTCGTTTGTTGTTGTTGTTGCTGTTGAAATAAAGCTGCAATACGTTCATCTAAACTTGGACGTTGATCTTCATCATCATTTTGTTGTTTGGAATTTATTATTCGAGAATCATTTGATAATTTTCGATTTGGACTATTACTTGATGAATAACTTGATCTTGATGTTGATGATGAATATGATCTTGATGTTGAACTTGAACTTGATGATGATGATGATGATGATGAACGAGATGTTGATGATGATGTTGTACTACTACTAGTTTTTCGTCTTCGTCGATTTTGTTGTGAATATGGACGAGGATTATGTGATCGATGACGAGATCGATGAGATGATGATTTATAATTATTACTATTATTACCAAATGAACCATATGGATCAAATGAAAATTGTTCAGAACTATCATTAACGGAATGATGACCACGTGAATCATATCGAGTTGATGTTGAAGAATCTAAATATTGATTTTTTTTATAATACTAGACTTTATCATAATTGTATTAATATATTCAAACAAAAAAGAATAAATTAGATCGTTATGATTTCAGTAACACAGAACTCAGTTAGGTTTGACTATAAGCAAAAATACTTGTCTAAGATCTTCTCTTATTTTTTTATTGTTATTATTAGTACTTAATCTAATTTATCTCAATTAATAAAAGACTATATAAAGCAAAATAATTATTATTTTTCAAGCATTTAGTAACTCAGCATTAATACTTTTACGTTGATAAGTTTTAACATAATTTCCATTTGTTCGCTGATTATTTCGTTTGAATGATGAAGCTGAAAACATAATATTTTCTTTATATATCTACACTCTTATGTATTTATTAAAGAGAGATGTTTTTCTTATTTATAATTTTACTAACATTTTGTTGTACGATAATGATTTTGTGTTGAATATGAATTTGATGATTGAGATAAATGATTTGTTACTTTATGATTCGTAGATAATTTCATAGACATATGAGATTTTTCTGTTTGTTTATTATTAAGATTTAAATCAATGGATGGTGGTGGTGGAGAAGCAGCAGCTGATGCAGCTAATGCTTTTTCTTGTGCAGCTTTTTCTTGTTCTTGTGCACGTATCATAGTTGCATATTGTTTAGTACGTTCTTGACCAGACGTTTCTAATGATACAGATATAATACTACCCATTTTAGTTGTCATATTTAATGCATTAACACATTCACGTGCAGATTTTGTTGTTTTAAAAATTACCTTGATTTTTTCAAAAAAAACAAAAAATAAAATTTAACAAAAAACAACAGTTCAATTAAAATCTTACTGTTCCTAATCCAAGATGTTTCTTTGTTTGTCGATCATAATATATTCTACAATCATCAATTTCACCAAAACGTTTACACATATCAGTTAAAAATGTTTTTGTTATATTATCATTTAAATTTCGAAATGTTACTTCTTTAGCTGGAATTGTACCAACCCAACAACGATCGAGCTGAATAGATTATAGAATTAGAAATTAAATTAAATATTCTTAATTTCTATAAATTACTTTAAATTTTGGTACAGGTAAATCATAATATGATCGATCAAATCGTGTTATATCACGTGGATCTACAGATCCGGAAACATGAAGTGGTGTCTTTAAAATTAAAATAAAACAGAAGAAATTATATTCATTTTATTTATAAATTTTTGTTTATTTACTCCTTCGAAATCTCCATTTGCATACAATCGTTTTTCAGCTGGATGAATTGCACTAAATAATATGAGAATATAGTTTTGTGTGTGTATGTTTTTTTTTAATGAATAATATATTTTCATACGGATCTCCTGCATAAAATCGATAATTTCGTCGTTTTTCATTCATAGGTATTTGAGATATTGAACGATTTAACGTTTCTATTGTTGATTTATTTAAAGAAGTCGATGCTGATGAAGTAACTAATATTAAAAAAGAAAATAATAAATTACCACAAAAAAAAAGAAAACAAAAAACATAAGAATCATATTTTACCATCGAGCATATTCTTCATTCATAACAAAAGACAAAACAAAACGGAAAAATAAAACCAAAAAATAAAATATAATTCTATTCACTCAATCTGTCATAAAGACGATGTAGCAAATAACGAATGAAGATAGTTTAGAGTTTTTTTTTTTTTTTTTCATCAACGACACAATCAGACAACTGCAGAAGAAAAAAATCGGCACTCGGATTATTTATTGGCTTATTAGAAATTAACATATTTATGCAGAATTTAAAAAAAAAAACAGGCACATGACTGACATCTACATTTTGATGACTAAGAAATTATAAATAAATAATAAACATGTCATTTGGATAGAAAGAAAAAAAAACAACAACAAGCATATAGAATTAAATTTTGAACGATGCCCGAATATGGGAGTGTCGTTTTAACATTGAGTAATGTTTTATTACCATCAGATAAACTTTATCCAAATCCAACACCTTCAATGATTGAAGGTTTACCATATGATGTTGAATATGACTTAAGATTAATTGGTTGTGAACTTATACAAACAGCATGCTTATTATTAAGATTACCACAAGTAAGTTCTTATAGAAATCGAGGGAAGAGCAATGATTGAAAGTGTTGTTTAAATACAACAACATATGGATTATATAGTGACATAATAGTCTTTGTTCCTCTTGTAAGCATTATTAAGAAAATTCTAATAGATACCAAAATTATTCAACAAGATTTATATTTGAATGTTTTCTTATGCTGTCGTAACTGTTAGAATGAATTCAAATAGAGAAAATACAAGCTATTTGCTAGTTCCCAAAGGCAGAGACTCTAGAAAATCTACAGAGTAGTTTTTTCAATATTTAGAACAGGTAAATATTATTTTGTTTACACTGCATAGAATGATAAAGTAAATAATTGTCTACAAAATGACACATCTTCAAGTTCTTAGCGATGTTTTTTATTTGACATACACCAATGAAGCCATTCTTTGTTATTTTCAATCAAATTACTGCAACTTAGCTGAAAAACAATACCACAAAGAGCTTCGAGACATCTCGTTTTGTAGAGTCTATTGTTCTATACAGTCTAAACAAAATTGTATGTATACGTTCTAGGTATCGGAAAACTAGAGTTTTACTTTTTTGAAGTGCTCTATCTTGAAAAATGTTATAATAATTTTTATTTTCTTGTTGGAAACCATTTTCTCTACTCGAATCACTCTTTGAATTCTTTCTAACACTTGCTACAGTGGACAAAAGATTGAAAATAAATCTTGTTGAATAATTTTGGTATCCACTGTGTGTATATATAATCTGAAACTACCTTTTTCATTCTATTGATTCGAAAAAAAAAATCATTATTTAGCATCAAGTGCTTTTTGTAGAAACATGTGTTTAGTATACTAAACATACACAGTGTAAGTTTAAGTAGAATTTGTTTCTTTTGTCAAGATATTGAATTGCAAAAAAAAAGTCTTTCAGAATATGTTACTAGTCATTGAAACCTGTTTATCATTGAAAATTAGGGTAAAATGGTCATAACTCACGAGGGAACATTTCCAGGTGTTGGAGCTATTTTTAGTCGAGACTTTGCGCATCTTGTAGGCCTTGATGACTTATGTCTACCGTAAAAAAAGTTCATGCCCCTAGCTTGTTCCTAGTGAGATATCGAGGTTTTAGTGAATTTTTCCTATAAGACCCTACATCTGCAGTAAGGCCATATTTTTGAATTTTGATCTGAAGCTTTGCCCACATAAATACCTCAGCTAGACTAGTTTGCATAAAAAATGTCAGAACTTTTAGACAAAGTCTCTCCCAGATATGAAGCTTTCAACGTATAAGCCGTTTTCCATAGATAGCGTATAAAGCATGCATTTTTTGAAAGCTTCATATTTCGGAGAGACTTTGTCCAAAAGTTGTGAAATTTTTTATGCAAACTAGTCTAGCTGAAGTGTTTATGTGGGTAAAGTTTCAGATCAAAATTCAAAAATATGGACTCGCTGCAAAAGTGGAGTTTTATAGGAAAAATTCACTAAAACCTCGATATCTCACTAGGAACAAGCTAGGGACACGAACGTTTTTTACGGTAGACATAATTCATCAAGGCCTACAAGATGCGCAAAGTCTCGACTAAAAATCGCTCTAGATACACGTTTTAGAATTTTTCTAGTTTTATCAAGATCTTGTGAACGCAATATGACTTAAATATTTTCTAAATAAAACTCATTTTTGCTTTGCATAGAAGTACTTTTTATCAATGACTAATTTCATATCTGAAATCAGTATTGAGTAGTGATATAATATATTAGTCTTTTTTTGGATTTAAATTTTTTTTTAATTATACAGACATTCGAGAGAATATTCAGCAGAAAATAAAATATTTCCAAAATTCAAAAATAACATGTCCATCTAGTTTATGGAAAAATCTCTACCGTTGTGTTGACTGAACTTCATCATGATAATTTTTGTTTTTGACTTTGCTAATAAATATGAAACAATAAAAAAATTGAATTTTTGTTATTTTATTTTTAAAGACAGCAGTAGCTACAGGTCAAGTATTATTTCATCGATATTTTTATTCATCATCATTTGTTCGTCGTCCTATGGAAATATTTGCAATGGCATGTACAAATCTTGCAGCTAAAATAGAAGAAAATGCTCGACGAATACGTGATGTTATTAATGTATTTCATCATATAAAACAAATTCGATCGGGAAAGTATGTTTTTAAAATTATAGAAAACGAAATATTGTTTTTATTTTTATTTTATAGAACTATTCGTCCATTATTAATTGATCAAGTATATATTGATCGAAAAAATGAAGTTATTAAAGCTGAAAGACGTGTACTTAAAGAACTTGGATTCTGTGTTTATGTTAAACATCCGCATAAAGTAAATTTTTCAAAAACGTTTTTTAGTACATCAATTTTTTGCTTTTTATCCCTAATAGATGATTACATTGTATTTAAAAGTATTAGAAAAAGAACGTGAAAAAAATCTTGTACAAACAGCTTGGTAGGTATTTTGAATTTATTTCTTCATCACTAATATTTTTGTTCAAGAAAAACAAAAACAAATAAAACTTTTAGGTTTTCTTATTTCAAATAATCTATACAAAGCAGAAAAAAAAATTCATAATCTATTTGAGATGATAGGATAGAATTTCAATATTTTGATTATAACTTTTTCTTTTTAAATTCTTCGATCTGATTGTTTTTCTAGAAAGTTAAGGAGAGAAATGAAGCCTACAATACTGAACAGTATCTTACATAGTTTTATAGGTAATGAAACAAAAGTGAAAATATTTTGAAAACATCAGAGTGTGTTCAAGTTCACCCGAGTGTTCTAAACAATTCAATTGAAAATAATCTCTAATCCGACATTTTCTTACTTTTTAGTTCGCTGAACTCAAAAAACAATAATCATTAGATAAACTTTGACCGTTATATCTGATATCGGAATTAGGGAACTGCAAAGTGGTCCCGGTCCCACCGGAACCAGGACCAAAATTTGACTTTTTTGCGGGACCGGGACTAAAAATTTTTCATACTGGTCCCGGTCAGTCTTTTATGCAATGTGTCGCCATTTATCTTATTTTTTTGACAATAGTAATGGCGATTCAGTATAAATAATTAATTCGATAATAAATCCATTAGATAGAACAGTAGATATAGAAGAAGAGAGAAATGAGTAAATGACTACTAAGAAGTACATGAGAGTTTTTAACAAAATTCAATGGTTATTTGTATTTATTCGAGTTTTCAATGAAATTCTTTCACTTTAACACTGAATATAAAAGAATTCTCGTACTGTTAGCGAATCAAAATCATTCATATCAATTTTATGTATTTATAAAAGTACATAGATCGTAAAAAAAATTGTCCGATTTTAGGAATGAAGCTAATGTCAAAGACCGGAACCGGGACCGGGACTAAAAAAAATATTTGACCGGGACCGGGACTAAAAAGAACATTTGACCGGGGCCGGGACTAAAAAAAGTGATTTTGCAGTTCCCTAATCGGAATTACTTCACAACGCAACACAAAAAAAAAACGAGATATAAAGTATTCTATTTTAGCTGAATTTTTTGCGAGAAATCGATGCAAGTTTTTAATATTAATTTTGAAATTATTTAATGAATACCAATTGATTGATTTTTTCAAGGACTATCATATGCGTATACTTTCTCTCTTTATTTTATCATTCAATTCAATGCAAATATTTGAGCAGAATAATACTTCACTTTTTCTCTAGAACTTTTTGAGAGTATATCTGAAAAAACAGTCAGATGTAAGAATTGAAAATAAAGTTAAAGTCAAAATATTGGTTGATTATTTAGTAGCCATTCGATATTTAAAACTTGACTTATGAAGGAAATCTCTTCAGATGTCTCGTTTCGATTTCAATGATGTTTTGCTTATTGATACTTGACTAAACTATCGAATTTTTAATATGTCTATTCTCTCGATGCTCCGAAGAACTCCTATTTTTATCTTGAACGTTATGCATAGAGAGAACTTAACTAGAGTAACTTCCTTAAAAACATTCATAACTTTTGAACAGTCTCTTTAAGATATAGATTCTTGTTCATGAATAGTGTGTATACAATATACATTTTTTTTAAAAATTCGATAGTTTAATCAAATCTCCAATAGGAATCGAAATTCTTTTATAGTTTCTATTATAACGCTATGTTACGTCAATAGGCAAAAAAGATCTTTAATAAATTAGATAATGAGTTAAAAATTTTAAGATTTTTTTTTTTTTTGTTTTTATTTAAATATTATTATTTTTTCTATTAGCAGCATATTCTATGATTAGACTTAAATAAAGTATGAAGAAAAATCTGTTGGTTAATATCAGTCTTTTCTTTTTGATCTTGAAATGTAGTTTTAATTCGAAATTTAAATATATTCAATAAAATGAATTTCTTGTCTTTCGTCCAGGATATATGGAAGAATGATGCGTATATAACCCGTTCATATGGTCGGAATATATACATACTACAACGTCGGGTCGTTTTCTTCAACACTCGACTAATAATCAAGTATCGGTCGGTAATGTTTTTCTTTTTCTTTTTTTAAATAATATTTTCTTATTCATATATAATTCAAAATATATTATTTCTCTCTCTATTTTGTAATTCTAGTTCTATCTTGTTATGTTTGGTTTTAAGCTTAATTTACGAAATTGAACAAAGCTGGTTCAACAAAGGAAAATTTTCATATAATTTAATTATTATTAATTTATATACTTTTCTTTTTAGATTTTTTCATATTATTCATAATAAATAATGAATTAGATGTTTATTTTTCTCCGGCTTTGTTCATTTTCTAGTAAAACCAAACATAACAAATAGTACTAGGAGATATTCTGTTTTTCTTTCATTGCCGATATGCCGATACTTGATTTATTAGTTCTATTTTTTTCATGGAGACAAAATCGACATAGACTTTTCTCGCTGTTGTAAATTTAATCGACATTTTTTCATTTAGGAATTATATGAATGATAGTTTACGTACAGATATTTTTCTACGTTTTCCTCCTGAAACAATTGCTTGTGCATGTATTGATTTAGCAGCACGCACTCTTCAAGTAAAAACAAAACAAAACATAATAAAATGTAGAATTAAATGAGTTTATTTAATATTTAAATAGATTTCATTACCGAAAAATCCTCCATGGTTTATTATTTTTGGTACAAAATCTGATGAAATTCATTATATAATGATAGCTATACTTCGTTTATATAAACATCGACCAGTAGGAATAATATAAGAAATTTTTTTCTTTTCTCAATTAAACTCATTTTTATTAGAAATCACTTGATGAACTTGAAAAAATTGTGAATACAATTCGTGAAAAACGTGAAGATGAAAGAAAAAAATTACGACCTGATACAAATCAACAAACAGAATTAGGTAATGATTCACCATTACCACAACAACAACAACAAATTGCTCAAAATTCTATATCATCAACAGTAGTGAATACAAATGTAACTGTTATACAGCAAAATAGTAAGATAATAACACAAGAGAAAATTCTTTTTTTCTTAGACTTATTTGTTTTTTTTTTGTAGGTCCGACTGTGATTGTCACAACACAAGAAATAACAAATGTAACAACGACAACAACAACAAATGGAAAAATTTTAAAAAAACATGATAGAGGAAGTTCAAGAGAATCATCAACAGTGAATGCACATCGACATCATCATTCCAGAAGAAAACAAAGTAGTACAAGAAGCAGGTAAATTTAAAATTTCGTTACTAAACTTTTTTTGAGTTTGTGATTAGAATATAACTGATTGTATAATTTCTTATTATTAACGAGAGAATCATTTAAACTGTTATCCATTGTTTGAGTTCATATTAAAGTCAAGAGAGAGAGTGACTAGTAGAATATCCTGAAAGCTTCAACCGAAGGGAATGTTCCGTGATCGAGATATTGAATTTAATTGTTTTTTTTTGAAATTTGATATCCTGAGAAAAGAATATTGTTTTTCGTTGAAATTTTTGATTTTCCAGTATATACTTAAAATTGGATTGAAAATTCAGTAAAACACTTGTAAGTTCTATATGAGCTCAAATAGTAGACATCAATTTGAGTAAATTTTGAATTCTCTTGATTGGAGTTGTGCGAGACCAAGTTTTTTTTTTGGTTCCGGTCTTGAGAAATCTATTCCAGAATTTATTCATCTTACATCTAGAATATTCTTCAATACTACTCGTTGGATCGACGATTAACATTGTTTTCAGTCATCTCTCTTAAATTGTTTTCTGTTATAGGATTTATTAGAAAATCGTAGAATATTTAACTGTGATCTTTAGTTCTGGTTGCGACAACTTCTTTCTTGTAGTCTTGGTAAACTTCGAAATTCGCGGCGCGGCCCGCCGGCGCCCCCGCCCGCCCCGGCGCCCGCGCCCACACCCCCGCCCCCCCCCCCACCCACCCCCACACCCACACCCACACCCACACCCACACCCACACCCACACCCGCACCCACACCCACACCCCCANGCTTTGTGCGCCAACCTCTTTTTTTTGGCGTTTTGATAACCATACAACCCCCCCCCCCCCCCCCCCGTATATCTCTATTCTTGATAGATAATCTATTATATGAGAATAATAAATTTATCTTGTTATTAGATCCTTATCTCAATCATCTTCACATTCTTCAATTCATCGTTCACAAAAGAAAAAGAAACCTACTCATCGAAGTCGTTCACGATCTCGGTAATACTAAATATTATAATGAATTCTTATTATTTGAATATTCTCTTTTGATTGCTTTTTATTTTTTGCAGTTCATCAACACCTAAAAGACGGAAACATCAAAAAGATAAACGACATCATAGTCGTTCATCAACTCATCGAAAAAAAGACAAAAAACGACGATCACGTTCGTCATCATCTGAAGAAAAGTAAATTTATTTTTAAAAATTTTTCACATAAACACCTTTCTATTTGTTTGTGTCCTTACCTGTTTTTTTCTTTTAGCCACTATTCTAAAACCAACAATAAACATCCACTGTCAACTAAAGACACCAATCACAATCTTCATCAACGTTCTCATCATCATCATCATCATCATTCATCCAAACATTCAAATGGTGTTTCATCATCATCATCATCTCATAAAAAACTAAAAAACTAGTCAATTAATATGAGATTTATATAATGTACAGATAGTTAAAGTGTCTTTGTTGTTTGTCATTTCACATAACATTTTTGTTTCTCTTGCACACAGAAGAAAAAAAAAAATAAATAAATAAATTTATTATTCAAGATAATTTTTTTTTATAAATTTATATCAAATTCGGCAACTTTCGAAACAAAGCCTTGTAGATAGTTTGTATAAATAGTTAAGAAAAAAGGAACAGAACCAAAAGAATAATAAAATAACATTTTTTTATGTCATCATTAAATTATACAAAATTATATGAAGCAACAAAACGTTTGGAAAAACATTTAAAAGAACGTGAAAATGAATATACAATTTATAAACAATTTAATATTCTTGTTGGAACATTTAATGTTAATAATCGACAAGCACCATCAAATACTTTACTTGAAGAATGGCTTAGTCGTGTAACAGATAATAGCTATAGACAACATATTATTCCAGATATAATAGCTGTTGGTTTTCAAGAAATTGATACAAGTAGTGGAGCATATATTTATGATGATAAAAAAAAAGAAGATGAATGGGAACTAATTGTACGACGAACAATTAAACATTGCTATAAAACAAAACATGATAATGAAAAATTCCAATTACTCAATCGTATTAGACTTATGGGTAAGTGAAAACAAGCTGAATGGTTTTAAAATTTTTACTTGTAAAAAACAAAGAAAAAAGATGACCTTTAAAATAGATAATATTTTTGAAATTTCTGCTTTATTCTTGAAGAGATCTATTGCACTGAGTTTCAGGTGAGCAACAATTTTTCATTGTTTCTCATAGCTTGCTTTTATTCTAATAAATAAAAATGCTAATCTTGGTTTACGTATCTCAATGCTATTCAACATATAAACAAGTTAAGAAATTGAGAAAAACAAAATAGAAATATTATTTATGTGTATTTGATTTTATAATTATTTATTAAATACTAACGAGAGAATGTTGCTAGATATTAATTCACTTTTGACTTGAGACTATGTATATCATGTAGATCCTAATAGACTTAAAATATCTTGAAAAAAAGTTTGTTTTCCTGACTATTTAATTCTTTGATCTATGAACATTAGGCAACGTTATCAATCGGTCACAAAACACAAAAAATAAAATCCGTAAAAAAATTTCTTAGTGTTACGAAAAAATGACTCAAAGAGAACCAGAAAATGACTAGTAACCACCATTTCAAGGACAAGACACATTATACACGAGTATAAATACGAATGTTTAGTCAACTCTCCTAATTGAGTATGAAACCTTACACGAGATTAAGTCGTATTTACTTTAAAAATTTTCCATAATCCTCTACATTATTTTCGNCGAGATATTAAAGTCTCAAAAAACAGAAAATTTTAGCATCTTTTGTAGTATATGAGTCATTTTTGGGACTTCAATATCTCGGGAAGGAAACATTCTTTTCAGCTGAAATTTTCAGGGTATTCTACTCATAAATAGATCTGCCTGTGGGCAAAATCTCAGGTCGAAATACAATCATTCGATTTGTTGGTATATATATCATGCCATAGGCTAAAATTCCAGTAAAATACCTGTAACTCTGGACAGAAGATCTAACAGCCTTTATCCGTTTAGGGTTTTTCATAGCTCACTGGGGTCTACCTAATGCACAGAGTCCGAACTCAAAAGATTTTTTACACTTGCATATGTTCCCTCGTATTTAATTCTTTGATCTATGAACATTAGGCAACGTTATCAATCGGTCACAAAACACAAAAAATAAAATCCGTAAAAAAAATTTCTTAGTGTTACGAAAAAATGACTCAAAGAGAACCAGAAAATGACTAGTAACCACCATCTCAAGGACAAGACACATTATACACGAGTATAAATACGAATGTTTAGTCAACTCTCCTAATTGAGTATGAAACCTTACACGAGATTAAGTCGTATTTACTTTAAAAATTTTCCATAATCCTCTACATTATTTTCGAGCCTTTGTCTGCTGCAGTTTTCAATATTCGATAATGAATATGATTTTCGTCTTTTTGTAACATTTCGATAAACTTTTGTTTCTTTTGTTCGTATCTAAGTAACTCTAGAAGAGACCATGGCATTGTATTAAAAAATGTTCTAAAAACCTTAAATCAGCTAGAGACATGAACTATTTTCAAGGTATTTTGAGTTCATTAAATTCTGTATGATATACATAATCTTGAACCAGAAGCAATTCCTTTGTCAGAGGTTTTTTGTTAGTTGAAACGAAACCATTTCTTTTTAGAACGTTCTTTTTCTTTTTGGCTATATTTCAGTAATTATTTTTAGGTATTTTACTGTTTGTTTATGTGCGCGCCTCACATATGGATAAATGTACATTAGTATCTCATGCGTCAGTACCAACTGGTTTTATGGGTATTGCAGGTAATAAAGGTGGTGTTGGTATTAGTTTTCGTTTCTATGAAACAAATATTTGCTTTGTTAATTGTCATTTTGCATCGGGTGATGGACAAACACAGCGACGTAATGAAGATTATCAGACTATAGAATCACGAATGGGATTTACTGATGGACCTACTTATTCGTTTAAGGATTATATTCGGTATACACCAACAACAGCCGGTAGTTCTACTCCGAATGTTCAGATTTCTTCTACTCCGACTCGATGGTTAGTAAAAACAAAAAAATTTTTAAAAACCTATTTCATCAAACTTTATACATGAACACAAAAAGATAAGAGGAAAATCGTAAATTATTGATAAAATGTTAATAGAACAAGATCGTGACATATTGATCTCAGCTTTTAAACTGAACAAATTGCTTCCATAAGCATAGAATTAATTATATTATGTCAAGAAAAATGTTTCTTTTGGTATATTGCATGTGAGATCTCGATACAAGAATGATCACGAAAGGACAATGATATCTGAATTACATTTTATGGAATAGTTTGACGTTCTCCATGATTGACGGTACTATAAATAAAATAGAAAAGTGTTCAAATAATTTATATAATTTCATTAATTGTTAATAGATCGATTCTAGTCTACATCTGGTTTTGATTATATATATTTTTAATATCATTGTATCATTGCTTCGGTAGATCAAACAATTAATTAGATAAATGCAGACAGTAGAGTAGGTTTCATTTTTCTTAAATCTTCATTTCTATAAAACTCTATTTTTATTTGAAAAGAAAATTTCATTATAAATTATTAATAGCTAATTAAATCAGTATGTAAGTTATAATCGTGCACGATGAGTTCTAACCTTATTCGTAATTCACTGAACGAAAAAATTTTTCTTTCAATTCTTTCATAATTAACCTATATCGCTAAGGATGTAGAACAGTTGTTTGTGTGAATATGTGAGTCTCTTCGCTGCCCACATCCATAAGACACATATTTTCTAGAGTACTCACATCTTTCCGGTCAACTATATACGAATAGCCGTTGAATTTTAATAATGATGTGTTTTTAGAGGTTTTTGATATAGTAACTGGCATAATTACTTTTTTTTCTCAGGTGATTGTGTTAGTCTGTTAGGCTTATATAGATATATTAGTTTCGTTGAATACAACTTATTATTATATTAAAACCATCAATAGTACTAATATTAGAATAAATAAATCAAACAATTTATGATGAACATTATTTTTTCGCAAAAAATGAATTTATTGTATAATTGTATTTCGGTCAGAAAAATGTTTGATGTTGCTGCCGTGATTAGTAATGTATGTACTAGCGAAAAATGTGATACCATTTTCTAGCAGTGTCAATGACCTCTAGTATTCTTCCTCTTGAAGATTATTTATTTTTTAAACTTCACTAATACTTTGTCTACTCTACTCGTTTATCTGTTCGGCAATTCTGTTCTTTAGAACAAAAAGATTAATTTTACTATTAAAATTGTCACAGAAAATATTCAAATAACGGTTACTCAATAATTTTCGCATAAACTTTTCGAACACATAAGTCGTGATAATACGATATTTGATGCAAGTCTTACACGACCATAATAGAAATTACTCCAATGAAAAAGTGTTAGTTCTGATGTCGGCTCCGAATTGGAACTATCTTGACTATCCGTCTCCCATTATTGTATTGAGTTTTATTTTGTTTCAAATCATTTTTTGACTCATAAATTTCATTGATTCTAGGTGGAAAATAAACGATCATGATATAGTCTTTTGGTTTGGTGATATGAATTATCGAATATCACAAACAAATGAACAAGTGCGTAAAGCTCTAAATGAAGTTTCAATTGTTCCATTACATGAAAAAGATCAATTACGTTGTGAAATGAAATTAAATAAAGTCTTCACTAATTATTATGAACCACCGATTGATTTTATACCGACATATAAATTCGATCCTAATACCGATTTTTATGATACTAGTGAAAAACTTCGTACACCATCATGGACAGATCGTATATTATATCATACAAAACGATCGATAGTTCTTCATCATAATAACGATACAGAACTTCAATCAATTCAACCGATATATTATTCATGTGCTAAAACAATTAGATTTAGTGATCATCGTCCCGTTAGTGGTCTTTATTCAGTTGCAATTAAATATAAATATGACGATGAACGTTTAAATCGTATACGTGAAGAATTAATTCGTGAATTTGATCGTGAAGAAAATGATGCTATACCAACAATTGAAATTCATCCACGTCCACCGGCTATTGTATTTAATAATGTACGTTATTTAGATAAAGTTAGTTATTCATTATTGATAACAAATATTGGTGAATGTCCATGTACATTTTCAATATATCCATCAGCAGCATTTGAACCAACACGTCCAATAAAAATGAAAGAATTATCAGAAGAACCATTTTTTGATTGTTTAACATTTACACCAAATCCTCCGTATTTTTTACAAAAGAATGAAAAACAACACATTGATATTACTTTTCAAATGAAAAGTCAATATTCATGGTTATTTGGAAAACAATTAAATGAAATTCTTATATTACATGTTGAAAATGGTGCTGATACATTTATAACGTTAGATATAACACTTGATATGGAACCATTTGGTTTATCATTTAATCAATTTCCTCCGACATTATATGATAGTGAAAAAAGACAATATATTTATGCAATAGATAGAAACAGATCTTGTGAACGTATTGTTGAAATGAAAAATGATCCACCAGCACTTTATATATCATTAATTGATTGTCTAAAAGAACGTAATGATATTAATTTACTTAATATATTTAATAGTGATGTTCAAGATACAAATGATTTAATTCCAATACGTAATCAAATCTATGAACATAATTATAATTTTGAAAATTGTCCAAGTGTTCCTCTGTTTATGATGCTTTTACATTTATTACAATCATTACCTGAACCATTAATAGCACGTGATATACAAGATAAAATATTTCTAGGAAATAATAATACAAGTAATCGTTTATATCAATTACCAAGTGGTACATCTATACAATCGCATATACCAAATGAGAATTCATCTCAACAACTAAATATGACAAAAGCTGTTAGTTTTATTATTGAACAATTACAACCAAAACAAAGAAATTTATTTTTTCGTTTTCTTTTACTCTTACAAAAATCTTGGCCACCATCAGAACAACTAAGAAGAATTGATAGTGATGCACAAAGTGCTTTAAATATTTGTATTGATGTGTTGGCTCTTTCAATTTTACATGAACATGCAAATCGAAATCAACGTCATAATTTTCTCTTAGCTTGTCTTAATGAAGAAAAAAAGAAAAGTTCTAAATGACATTTTTATTTATTGTTATATGAGTATTGCTTTAGCAAGGTTCGTAGTATATTGACAAAAACTACAGCAGAATATTCTTGTTTTTAAAGGGGTTCTTTTGCTATTATGCTGGGAGATGCTACGATCCGTGCTTATTATTTATTTTACATTCCAGAAGAAATTATTTTTTTTTTGTTTTTTTTTGAATCCATTTATATTAATGTTGCGTTTTATTTTTCTTTATGAATAACGTCTTTATTTAACAAAAAGTTAACATGATAAAAAAAAGTGTTTTGATTATCGAGAGAATGAAATTACAATTATATATACTATTAATTAGACTATGAATTTTGCACTTATTTGATTATTGACTATGCTTGCCTAAAAGAATCTATACATGTTCATAGAGAGTGTTTAATACGTCAACTCTTTAAATTTAATGAGGAAATAATCTGAACTGATATTCGTCAATTGAGTTCATATCAGAGTTGTAAGAACAATACCATGTGGAGATCTGTAGTCTTCCGAGGTCAAGAATTACCGAAAGTAGATTTAGAAAAACTTGTCAAAAACAAAGTTTGGACTTATTTCTTTTGATAATTTTTTGTTCACTAGTAAAAATAGAAATATATCGCTCGTTTTCGTCAAAGATGCCTTGGAAACAAACGATCTGGTCGGTGTTCTTTTTATAATGAGCATTAATCCTACGGTCTCATAAACTCTGTTGGCCTCTGTTCAAGAGATAAGTAAGTTTGCACATGAAGAGGGAATTTTCTTCTCAATGTACACTGTTTTTTCGAATTGGTGAAGTTCGAAAAATTTACAAGAAAAGTTCACTTTATGAAGTGGACCTTAAACTTGCGCTAGAACAGACAAGAGGGTAAATTTGAAAGGAGACTACGTTTTACAAAAAAGCACTCGAAATCTACCGAAAAACTCTTCCGGCAGATCATCCTTCATTAACAACATGAGTGACTACTCGAAAGCACTTGAATTCTACAAAAAAAAGCATATAAAATAAAATAAAAAGCTCTGCCTTCAAATCATCCCAACTTGGCTACTTCCTACAGCAACATTGATCAAGTGTGAGTGTGGATGTATGTCTTCTTTCCTACGACAGCTACTAGCACCCGGATCAACACACTCACACCCACACCCACACCCGAAAAAAAATTCATCATGTACCAAAAAATTCTTTTTTTCGAAGTGTCAAAAATTAGTGGCTCAGAATTTTGTCCATTTTGAAAACAAAAAGTGCAATTACCAAATAAGCTGTCATTTGTAGATTGTAGAGAGCTATTCAAGCTGCATCTTGTGGTGTTTTTTTAACAAAGCGTATCAGGTGATAAAAAAATGAATCGGAAAAGGAACTTTTCTTGTCCAAGGGAGTGTATGAAAAAAATCAGACTTTTTTGTATGTATCGGGCAAATTTGAAACAACAAGCCAGTAAAATGCGCTGAATATATACATGTATAGTTGAATTAATGCTCGATCTATGGATATGCAAATGAAGATATAATAATAAATAATAGAGGAGAGCGTGCGAATAGAAAAAGAAAGTTTTTTTTTGTCTGAAGGAGGGTCGATGATTAGTGATAACGACGAAATAACCTACGATGCATATGTATCCGCACAAATGTCGAGCTGTGTTATGTTTAAACGAAAAATGCTAGGACCCTAGTTTTTTCATCCACAAATAAAGCAAGGTCTGTACTTTAAAATAAATATTTTTAGAAAAAAATAGCGTGTAATTTAAGACTTGAAATTCTGAATTTTTGAAAACCACTAAAAATGATCTTTAGCTAGGGTAATATTGGAGATTCCTTTATATATTCACTTTGTGTGGGTGTCGGCGTGGGTGTGGGTGTGTGAGGGTGTGGGTGTGTGAGAGTGTGGGGTGTGGGTGTGGGATGTGGGTGAGTGTGGGTGTGGCTGTGGCTGTGGCTGTGGGTATGGGTGTGGTTGTGGGTCTGCCCTGAGTCCACTGATACCCACACACCCACACCCACACACTCAGACCTCATTTGTCTTTCTTTTGTCCTCTTATGAATTTGTTCTTTTGAACTGCATTTATTACTGATTGTGTTCGATAGTTGTTACCAAGTGTAAATGTTGATATTTTCTTGTTCGAATTGATTTATTTTAAAATAAATTCGGGTAAGTAAAAATGTGAGAAAGTAATGCAATCATTATCGAATATTTACATTCAGTCAAAAAAACAAACGACACTAGTCAACAAGTGCTTGTCTATTCGCTATTAGTTGGATTCACTCAAATACATATTAAATTGATGGTTCGTACTAAAGAACAAGGAGAAATATAACAAGACTACATCCACAGATTCTTCGAAATGTGAAGAAAAAGAAACAACTATTTCATTCTCTACGATTATGAAAATTTAATTTGATCACGTTTGTCTTATATTTGAATTCAATTTTTTTCTAACGAAAATTAAATAATAGATCTAGCTATTGTAAATTTCCAAATGTATGATAGGAATCGATAACTTTAATTTCAGCTTAACTGAATATTATTTAGGCGTTTTTATTTGGCTGCAATCCTTTGGAAACTGATCCAAACGAAAGTTGTTGCCGTAACCCTATTTAATCCTGTTTATCATTGAGTGCTCCTTCGATATATTTTTTAGCAATCTTCATGGCACCATCCAGTTCAAACCACAGGTTGATTTGCATAATAACAACATGTTTCTTGTTAGTAACTACTACATGAACGAGAAATTATGCAATCAAAGTCGAGTTCTATATTCAACTTACATATCTCTATCAGAAAAATATTCAAATTATTCTGAACAAATCTCATATCTAATAAATGAAAAATAAATGAAATCAACGCCATCTGTGTTTTGGAATAACATCTCTATGGAATAAACTCTAAATCATTACTCTTAATATTGCGAAGAAAATCTTAAAATAACTAATCATGAATATGTGTAAGTTTATATATGTATCCCTTACCAAAGCATTAAATATAAGTCATATTCAATGAGGAGATCGAATTGCTCAAAGACATTCAAGAACAGGAAACTGTTTTTTGTAACCTCCAATATTTAATGATAGTTTAAATATTGAGACTGAAGGTAGTAAAAAGAATTTATGAATGTCTATATTTTGGGATGAGACAATGTTTGTTCATTGGGTGAAAAGCATCAGAATATACATATATTCATCGAGGAATTCTTGAAGATAACCATAATCTTGATATTGAGCATGTTAATTGGCTTGAAATCCATAGATTTCTTAATACAAGATGATCAACATTGATAGTTCATGGTGGAAATTAAAAATTTCTCTTTTACATTTTCTTGCTCAATGCGAACTACATTAGTCAGATAATTTTAGTGAGGAGATGAGTAAACCACTAAACAAGAGATCAGTTGTTTAAGTATAAAAAACAGAAAAGTACTTTTTATCGATATTCCTGTTATTATTGTTTATGACTAAATTCGTTTGCATTTGATTAAATTTGAATTGTAACGAAATCAAAATGATTTCGCTTTATTACTTTTGATATATCATCAATGTATCAAAGTTATCGACGAAATTTGTGGATATTTCTATTGATTTGATTTTCTCTTCTTGTAGGCGTAAGTGTACGAAAGTCGGCGTTTACTATTTTACATTTTCACTCACACACATCGGTACACCCATAACTTATTTTTGTATTATTTTTTTTATTTGGCAGCTGTTGGATATCCGGAATAGTATCAAAGTATCTGTAGTCAACTTGTTTTTGTTATCCAGAATGATCTCAATGTATTTTAGAGGATTCGATGTATTGTATTAGTTGCCAGGAAACTGATTTTACTAGAATGACATTTCTAAGAGATCTTAAATGGATACAATGTTCGTAATGAAGGATGTGAATGTGGGTGAGAGTGTAACTTGTCGTCATACTCTTCCCTCATATCTATCTACACCTAAATAGCTCAAACTCACACTCATAATTTTATTCACATGTAGTGTAATGCTGTATATGCCGTTTTTTTCTAAAACTCTTTCTGTGACACTCACATCAAATGCGATGCTCTGAGTATTGTTTTCGTTGAAACTCCTTTTTTCATACCAACAATTGATGCGATGTTGAGTGAGTCTACTGATCAAACAAGCACAACCGCATCTATATTCAGTGTTCATGATTTATTAGAGTGTATGTAATTCACATGATCTGAGCTTGTAAGGAAATTCATATCTAAAGAAAGATGTGATGAAGAAACAAGCATAATAGTGGATTAATAAGAATTTTTCTCAGAGTTAGAAGAAACTTAATGTAATTTTATTCCAAATAATGGAAGAATTGCAGCTTTATTTTTAATCGAGATCGTTAGTCGTTCATTTCATCTGAATATTTATTGGAGGCAACACGAAACACAAACAAAACTCTTTGATTGCTATCGTCACCCAAGTCATTAGTAAAGCATTAGAAAACGTTTCTATGAAAAGTTCCATATGCTTCATTGAGTTATGGATCGAATGAATCGATAATCAGTCGTGATTGATATCGATTATTGTGTGCATTTTTGAAATTTTCCTGCAATTGATGAAGAATCTTATCTGGAATTGATTCAAAATGTCTATTTTTACGAAAAACATGGAGATAAAAAGTAAACTGACGAAGTAATGATAAATACGAAGCTATTTTAGATGCAAGCCAGTCATCGTTAAGAAAAAATTGTATATTTATTGATAGTTCATCCAATCGATGAACCGTAAGTTGTTCAAGATTGGGTAAACATGCAAAAAAAATACCAATAACATGCGCATTTCTGGTCCACATTCTAAATGGAAATCTGATATCCAATCTTTTTAAATTCATATATGATTGATTATGTGGGAATGTATTAGTTGAAAAAGATGTTTCCAAAGCAAGAAAACATAAATTTGGACATGCTAATAGAATTGCTTGATAAATAAATAAATCAATAAATCCAACTTTTAAAATACGAATTGATGGTGATTGTGTCCATCCTTCACTTGTGTATATTGGCTCCACGCCAATCAAATGACAAGATCGCAAGTTAGGAAAATTATTAGAAAAATTTTTTTTAATGAAACCAGGCATGTAATATGTTAGAGATTCGCAACTCATTGATAGATATTCCAAATAAGGTACAACAGAATTATCAAACTCTCCAATGAGTTCAGCAGTTGGATTCACTAAACTTAGTCGACGTATTTCTATAAAATAAGTGAGATAGACATTGCTCGATCGGTTAATTATTAGTGTATAGATGTAGGGAGCTATAACTTGAAGATTAACTTGTTGAATTCGTTCTTTTGAAGAAATATTAAGTGAAAGATACTTAGCAGTTTTTAGTAATGTATTGAAACGATAATTAAGATTGTAAAAGGCATTGTACAAGTTGTAAGCATCAAAATATTTAAAAATCTCCATAATTAATTCATTTGGTAAATACTCAAATTTGAAGAGATATTTTTCCATGTTTGGTAGATATAAATCAATAAGTAAAGAATTTCTTTTTGATAATAATTTCAATTGAGTTAAATTCAAATAGAATTGTTGTATTTACTAATGTAATTGAAATATGAAACATCGCTAAAATGATTTCTACTTAATTGTTCATTGAATATTTTCAACAACTAGCGTTTTGGAAAATCACAGAAATTGACATAAATAGCGTAACCAACAATGATAATATCAACAGAAAAGAAAGGTTCTTATTCATTTTCAATTTTATGTTACTAATTTATTGTTGATTATGAAAAATAGCTGATCGATTCAAAAATTATGATTGGAATTACGTAATATATATATATATATGGATGAATTGCAGATTTATTGTACCGTTCGGAGTTCCATCAGTAAAATATGAATAACTTCAGTTCCTCTTGACCAATCTTTATGAAAATTTCTGGGTATACTTCCCTAGTTGATGCCCACTACCACACAAATAATCACGAATTTATCATTAGCCTACCCTGAGATACTGTGCACACTAGGGTGAAATTGCTGGTTTCTGCTGCCACCTATGGACAGAAAACAACCCATCGTTAATTGGTTTCCTATCATTTGAATTTTGACAATTGTTGATGTTTAGAGTGGACAGTGTACGCGTTACGAATATAAGACTTGTTGGTTCTTTCATCAAAGTTTACATCGTATTTTTCTCCGAATATCATGTGCACTGTCAATAGTCAACATAGTGTCACACGAGATTTAAAAACGCGTTTTCTATCTAACAAAGCATTTAAAATTGATCGAATTGGTTTTGAATGAAAGCTTATCCGTGGGGAATATTACTACCAAAGATGATAAGAAAGTTTCATTTTCTCTCGTTAAGAAAGGGATATTAAATCAAATTTCAAAATATAGTTGTCACACTAAATGTCACACGAGATTTGATACTTTGTGTACTATATTAACTCTTGTAAACCAAGCCAAATTTAGCTGATTTTTTTATCATTTTATCAGCCATTTGTGGTCTAATGTTGCTGAAAATATCAAGGTTGGGTGTGGGTGTGGGTGTGGGTGTGTGGGTGTGGGTGTGTGGGTGTGTGGGTGTGGGTGTGGGTGTGGGTGTGGGTGTGGGTGTGGGTGTGGGTGTGGATGTGGGTGTGGATGTGGGTGTGGGTGTCAGTGAGGGTGTGGGTGTGGGGTGTAGGAATGTGAGAACAGTGAGTATCGTCTCACACCCACACCCACACCGACACCCTCAGGAAAGTAAAGATAGCGCAATATGAAATCTATCAAAAGTTCTATCAAAAATTGTAATGGAAACAGAAAATTTTAAAATATTACTGCATTTCGGAAAAATTCGGAAACATCTCAAGAATTCGGAAAGTCGGAAAGCAGTGGGAAAAACTTAGAAAATTCGGAAATTTCCGACAAATTCGGACGATCTCGCAATCTGAATTCTTCATATGATTGACATTGAATAGATGGAACATTTTTTATAAAAATAAACGACTTCATTCAAAAAGCATTCAGTTACTAACTATCATGTTTTCTAAGATCCAACAAACTTGAATTTTTTTCTAGCACATTGAAAGAAAAGCAGTAAAACCTTCACCTTTCTGCCAAAATAAGACCGTTGAAAACAAGACAATTTCATTGGCATCTTGTGAATTTTCATGCGCTAAATGTATTTCAAAACTTCCAGAAGAATTCCATGAGACTTCATTAGACTTCAAGAGACTTCGAAAGACTTCCAAGACTTCATGAGACTTCAGGGCTGAAGTCTCCGCTGTTTCCCCCTTGCCTCAAAATATGAAGAGATCCATTCATCCTAGGACATCCATTAGAAAACGATTATTGATGAATGGTGCTAAAAGATTTCATGAAAAGAATGTTTTTGTTTACAAAAACGATACAATAAAATTACATAGACAACGAAACTACATTCAAGAATGTCGTGTTTTTATTGCTTAGTCGAACGAACAGCAATAGTAACCGCTCGAGGATTTTGACTTTGGCTACCATGAGTAATGTCATGTCGACCTCCTTTGTAGAACAGTTGAATTGTATTTTGACGGAAAGCTTTTGATACAGTCAAGTTCAAATAGAAACTTGTAGCTGGATGAACGAAAGTTAAAAGAAAAGTTATATACATTAGAAAGCGTTCGATTACTTCTCGTCGAGCATTTTTAATTTCATATTGTGTAATTTGCTGGTACATCTCCATAGTAACTACTGGTGACGTCGAGATGATAAAGGACATTATTTCAGACAGAAGTATAATCGTCAACGTACGATCTTTAGATCGATGAGTGGTCATGACAGTTACAGTCGTATTTACTGGTTGGACATGTATTCGATGGAGATTTTTCAATGTCAGGATCGCAAACATGCTCAAGAGAAGGCATGGTTCAATACCGTTGATTATTAAGTTGCTGTAGACAGCAAAACTCATATAATTGCCTGCTTCGTAATGACAGAAATTGAAACCTGGATAAAGTTGGATAATATTAACACCGACTAACAGATGACTACAGAAGACTACAGTAATAAATGTTACTCCTGCAATAGACCAATAGGCCAGACGATGAGTACTTCGTTGACGTGTCAATGCATTTGATGATGTAACAAGAACTCGATCGATCGATGCCAAAACAAGATAATGTCGTGATAGGATGGGACATACTAACCGAAGATAAAACTCTATTTTGCAAAATAAGACATTGTACAATGAGGCGTCAATATTAGTTATATTTGCTATAACTACTGGGAAGAAGGTGAGTACTATGACGAG